AGGCTGAGGCAGGAGACTCGCTTGAACCTAGGAGTTGGAGGTTGCTGTGAGCTGTGATGCCACAGCACTCTACCCAGGGGGATAGCTTGAGGCTCTGTCTCAAAAAAATTAAATAAATAAATAAATAAATAAAATAAAAACAAAAAATAGAAAAACCAATTGGGTATTACGGCAAGTGCCTGTAGTCTCAGCTACTTGGGAGGCTGAGGCAGGAGGCTCTCTTGAGCCCAAGAGTTTGAGGTTGCTGTGAGCTATGATGATGCCATGGCACTCTACCCAGGCTGAAAGAGTGAAACTCTGTCTCAAAACAAAGCAAAACAAAACACCACTGTGTATGAACCCCTATGCAACCAAGAAAGAGAGTCACTCAAATGCAGCTTAAGGGTAGTGGGGAAAATGGGGTCCCTGGTTCTGTTCAACATTCTTCTCACTAGTAGGCCTCTTAAACAAGGAATGCCATATTACTGTGGGCAACAGAATCAATAAAAACTCAAGGAAAAGGAGCCACTGTTTAGGGCTCAATCCACAGAACAGACCCAAGAGAGGGATAGGGTAATGCAAGAAAAAGCCCATAACCCAATCCCACCCTCAAGGGCTGTGGAACCTTGGCAAGGCTGCTAATCTCTCTGAACTCAAATTCTTCATATGTAAAATGGGGCTCACAAAGCCCAGCACCCAGGGAGCTGGCAGGTAGAAGCAAGATGCAGATCTAGACAAAGTTGTGCTGTCCTTGGTGTGCTCTCCTCCCCAGCACACACCTCCTTAATAGAAACTTGGCCCTCTCAGCTCACAACCTAGTGCTTGGACAGGACATCTCCTCTTACCCAGCTGTTTCTTGTTGAGACTGAAGTCCACACAGGTAACTGCATCTCGGTGGCCCTTAAAATGCCTCTCCAGCGAGGGATCCTCCTGGGGGAGAGCCATGATCAAATGTGTGAAGCCTGGGTGAGGAAGGGGCTTTCCCGGGGCCAAGACTCTTCCTACAACAGCCAGGAGGCGTTAAAAATGCTCAAGGCATGCTCTTATATAAAGAAAATCTTAAAAGATCCACTAAAAACTATTAGAACTAATAAATGAGTTCAACGTTGCAGGATACAAAATCAATTCACAAAGATCAATTGTATTTCTATACATTAGCAATAGGCATTCCAAAAATAAAAGTAAGAAAACAATTCTACTTATGATACATAAAGAATAAGACACCTGGGAATAATTTAACAAAATAAGTGCAAGACTTGTACAGTGAAAATGACAAAATATCACTGAGAGAAATGAAAGAGGACCTAAAAAATGGAACATCTCATGTTTATGGACTGGAAGACATAATATTAAAACGCAATAATCCCCATATCAGTCTAGATTAAATTCCTGTTAAAATCCAAGGTGCCCTTTTTACAGAAATTGACAAGCTAGATCCTAAAATTCATATGAAAATGTAAGATACCCAGAAAAAAAAATCTTTAAAAAAGAATAACAACAAACAAACAAAAATAGCCACTGTGGAAAAGTTTGGCAGTTCCTCAAAAAGTTAAACTGAGAGTTAGCAAATGATCCAGTAATTCTAGGTAAATACCCAAAAGAATTAAAAACGTGGTTCACACAAAAACTTATATACAAATGGTCACAGCAGCATTATTCTTAGTAGCCAAAAAGTGAACAAACCCAAATGTCTATAAACAGATAAATGAATAAACCAAAGGTGGTATATCCATACAACAGATTATTAGCCATCAAAAAGAATGAAGTACTGATACAAACTGCAACATCATGAGCCTTGAAAACATTATGCAAAGTGAACGAAGTCAGGCATGAAAGGCCACATTTGGTCTGATTCCATTTGTACGAAAAGCTCAGGCTGGGCACGAGGCCTGGCACGGTGGCTGACACCTATAATCCTAGCACTCTGGGAGGCCAAGGTGGGTGAATTCCTTGAGCTAAGGAGTTCTAGACAATCTGAGCAAGAGTGAGACTACCTCTATAGTAAAAAAAAAAAAAAAAATACAAAACATTAGCTGGACATTGGGATGGCCACCTGTAGTTCAGGAGGCTGAGAAATTTGCCTAAACCCAGGAATTCAAAGTTGCTGTGAACGCGGCTGATGCCATGGCACTCTAGCCTGGGTGACAAAGCGAGACTATCTCAAAAAAAAAAAAAAAAAAAGTCCAGAATAATCAAATCTATAGAGACAGAAAGTAGTGATTTATGATTGCGAAGGATTAAGGGAATGGGGAATGGGAAGATATGGAGTGACTATGATGATTATTAAGTGTAGGTTTCTCTTTGAAGAGATGAAATGTTCTGAAATTAGATACTGATGACAGGTGCATAACTCTCTGAGTATATTAAAAACCACTGAAATGGCCACCCCGCACCCCAGCCAGCTAGCGTCCTTTGTGCCTCTCGGCCCAGACTTCAGGAGACCTCACCAAAATGCCATGTCAGATGGAGAATGCCATGGAAACCATGATGTTCATGTTTCACAAATTTGCTGGGGATAAAGGCTACTTAACAAAGGAGGACCTCAGAGTGCTCATGGAGAAGGAGTTCCCGGGATTTTTGGCAAATCAAAAAGACCCAGACTCTGGCCTTAGACAAAATAATGAAGGACCTGGACCAGTGCTGAGATGGCAAAGTGGGCTTCCAGAGCCTCTTTTCCCTAGTTGTGGGCCTCACCATCGCGTGCAACGACTATTTTGTAGTACACATGAAGCAGAAGGGCAAGAAGTAGGCAGAACCAAGCAATTAATCTGCCCTGAAAAGTGTTCTCTCAAAGGATTGCTTTAAACATCAGCCCCACAGCTTCTCCCTATATAAGGATTTCATGAGCAGATCAGGATCCTTAGAATATATACAAATAAAATCTAACTCCCATTTGTCAAGCAGAGAAGAAAAAGTTAATTAAATGCCAGATGAGCTTTTGTTTTTTACATTGTTTGCATTCCCTTGCCCTCAATAAACATAATCCTATTTTTAGTTCCAAAAAAAAAAACAACCCACTGAACTGTACACTTTAACAGGTGAATACAGCTGGGCGCAGTGGCTCACACCTACAATCCTAAAACTCTGAGATGTCAAATCAGGAGGATCATTTGAGCCCAGGAATTTGAGGCTGGCAGTGAGCTATGATGTTACTGCACTCTATTCAGTGCAATGAAGCAAGACACTATCTCAAAACAAGAAATAAAAAATGCATTTATGACACATGAACCTCTCAATAAAGTTATTATTTTAAAAGCTCAGAGAGAGAAACTAGGAGCCCTTCAGCACCACCCCCATCTCAGGAATCAGATCCCATCATCTCAATCCCACCAACGACTGATCAGCGAACCCACAGGTCAACTCTGGACAGGCCCCTGGTGAGATCACCATCACCTCCACTATACCTAACATCTGAGAAACAGCAGGGCCATTCAGGACACTGCTTAGGAAGACACTAGACAGAATACTCCAGAGACACACTTGAGCCAACAACAGCTCATGTCTTGGCATCTACCTCTCAGATGTACCTCATCTCCCCTCTACCCCAGACATCAGAAACTTCAAAGAAGCATTATGGGCTGGGTGTGATGGTTCATGCCTGTAATCTTAGCACTCTGGGAAGTTGAGGCAGGTGGATTGCCTGAACTCACAAGTTTGAGATCAGCCTGAGCCAGAATGAGACCCTCTCTCTAAAAATAGCTGAATGTCCGTGGCAGGCACCTGTAGTCCCAGCTACTTGTGAGGCTGAGGCAAGAAAATCGCTTAAGCCCAAAGGTTTGAGGTTGCTGTGATTTGTGATGCCAAGGCACTCTAGTGAGGATAACAAAGTGAAACTATCTCAAAAAAAAAAAAATAGCATTATGGGTGCTCCGGAGAGCCCAAAGGCTCCTCTTGGAAAAAGATGTCACTGGGGCAAAGCAAAGCCACTGCCACCCCATAAAGCTGTTAACTAGAACAAAGGTTCTATGGCTCTGTGCCCAGCTCCACCCCAAATACACCTGCCTGAGTTCCCCTTTCAACAACAGAGAGAGTGGTAGTTGGCAGAGAGCCCCTAACAGAGCAGTACCTGCCCCACTCAGCCTCCAGCCCTCACCCGAGACTCTTGAACGAACAAGGTAGGAGAGTGCTTGCCTGCCTCTAGGCTCAGTGGGCAGAAGCAAGTTCAGGTCCACCCCTTACTAGTGGGCCCCTTGGTATCTCCCAACACTCTCTCCCCTCTGTAGCTCTCTGCAAATGGGCCTCATCTCCCTTAACAGTGGCTTATATGTCGGGAGAGGGGGCAAGGTTACAGGGTGAATACCAAACTGGGGGTCAAAAATATTGACCCTCTGCCTAAGTCCTCAGATGCCTAAGGAGGCCACAGGCTACCACCCAGCATCCCTGACTCTCCACCCATCCAGAGGGTTGGGCCGGTTCAAAACGACCTCCCAAAATGACCGCTTTGAAGTGTTCCTCTCTGGTCTCTGGAGAAGCCTAGAACTCAAACAGGGCGGCCCCGCCCAGGTCACACTGCAGGCCTGGGCCATCCCAAGGATCCCAGTACCTGCTGTTCCCCCAAAGGAGCGGGATGTACCCTCGACAAAACCCCACACAGTCACCCACTGTTCAGAATGAGGAGACAGACTACAGAGGCCCGACAATGGTCGCAGGTCACACCTAGGTTGGGACATACTCGTATCCTCCCTGCTAAGGTGCAAACCCTAGAGGAGGGGACTTGTTCGCCCCAAAAGCCCCGCACAGGGCCTGGCAACCAGGGGCGATCAGTTAAGTGCTCTGGCTCAGCGCCCTCCACAGGACAGTAAACGGGGCTTGAGGGAACTGCCCTGCACCCGGCGCTCCACCCGCCCCTCTCACAGCGGTCACTCCGGCCGGCCAGGCGCCCACTGTCCCAGCGTGGAGCCTAAAGCCCGGGGGCCGGCAGTGGCAGGGACTTACCGGGCAGGGAGCAGCCATGACGGAACTCGAGGCGCCACAGGCGCCAGAAGAGCCCGAGGCCTCCGCAACAGCCGTTACAACCAGTTCAGTTTCCGCGCCCCCAACGGCAGCCAATAGCAACGCGAACCCCGCGCCACGTCCCGCCCACCGCAATTAAAGGAGACGCTCCTCAGCTTTTTACCCCCGACCAGAGGCAGTGCCGTGTGACCGGTACCGCGACCTCCGAGCCCAGCTCTGCCCGGCCAGTCAACCCACAGACGCCGCCGCCAAAGCCTTTTGTCTCCCCTCACTCATTCCTCCTGAGAAGTTAAAAAGGCCAGGATAAGCGTTCGCCCCACCAGCCCATGGCCTGGCTAACGTAACGGCGAGCGCAGCCTTCTGGGAAACGTAGTTCCACGCCGTCCACTCCCCTGAGTCTGGAGGATGGTGGGACTACATTTCCCAAGAGGTAGGCGGAGCTTACCATTGACCCGAAGTCCTTAGGATCCCGGAAGCGGTGAACACGTGGTCACTATGTTTGTGTTCCCTTAAAGCACCTACGCTCGCCAGCGCAGCCAGGTTTTCGAGCAAAACACCATTAAGAACTAATTATTCGCCCCTCCGGAACTCTTTAAATGGTTAGCTCCTCCGAACGCTCTTAAGACAAAAGTCTACTTAAAAGAAAAAAAGAGTCACTTGGAATCACAGCCATAGACTGGAGAGATCTAGGTTCGAGTCTTAGTTTTCGCCTCGATTTGCTGTGTGATCTCAGGAAGAAAGCCTCTGCTTCTGTGGGCCGGTTCCCCCATTTGTGATAAAAGGGAGTGTGATGCCGCCCGGCCCTCTCAGGACCGACCCTTCAATACTTTTAAATGTTTAAAAGGAGGTGGCAATCCAGGGGCCTGGCCACCAGAGGCCGTCCCTACTCACTTCGCAGTCGAAAGGCCCAGACTGTCGTAGAATTTTCCACTACCCCTCCTCAATACAGGTATCTTCCAAACCCGCAGCTGACTCGCGCTGGATGTTTTGCAAGATTTAGGAACCTTTTACCGCCTCGCTCCTGGGTAAGCCAACTTGGCCAGGCTGGGACACTGATAACAATCTGGTCAGGCCCCGAGGTTTCTTACAACGTATCAAGATCTGACACTGTGTCCCTGGATCTGCAAAAGAAAATCGGGTTCAGTAAACTCAGAAACTGGCACATGGCAGGCAACTGGCATGTGGAGGAGCTTTCTTTCATTTGAACTTGGAGGGCTTAAGGCCAGACACAAGAGACGTGATTTGGCATAAAATTAATTCCTTGATATTAGAACTATTCAGATTAATTTAACTTAAAAACCAGGAAATTGTCCTTGTAACTATGACACACCCTGAAATTGTTCAATACTATTCGTAAGACAATTTTCAAGTCTTCCTACCAACATTCATGTCTTATTCAGCTCTCTTGCCTGCCAGTCAAACATGTAAGGGGGAAATTTAAAAAGAAAAAAGAAATTAACTACAGAAAAACCCATCCATTAAGTTTAAGGTTTCTTTTATTGTTGAGTGGTAGTTTTGGTTTTTGATTTTGTTTTGTTTTTGTCAATTTTAGCATTGGAACACCCTGGTCTACAGGAGCTTGTAATTTAAAAGATTGAATTTAGAAAACCTCATCTATAAAATGGTTTTCAAATGTCAGGTTTGCTCAAAGTGAGTCACTGGAAGATTTTACTTGTCCTCCCTAATCCTTACAGATCATTCATTCTGTCGTTACTCCTACTTACCAAGGAGGAGGAACTGGGGATGCCTCACCCCCTTTTGCCCATTTCAACCCAGAATCTGCTGCTAGTACAACTTGCATAAAACCAAGATCAGTGCCTCTACTTCCTAAGTGGGCAGGTCCCCTATCCCAGTGTCACCTCCATTAGATTCAACTCCATTTCTGACCCAGCCTCCATACTGTGGCAAAGCTCAGTTTCAGAGGAGGCTCAGTGTTGGGGCGACCTTCATGTTGAGGAAATCTTTTTCTTTCTTTTTTTTTTTTTAATTTGAGGTTGATGTGAGAGTACAAACCACTGGGTTACAATATTTGCATATGTTAGGTAGAGTCCCTCTTATAATTGTGTCCTGCACCCAAAAGGTGTGTCAATACCCTTACATTGTATCCATTAAGTGGGAACACCCCAATTTCTCACCCCTTTTTGTCTCTTCCCCCTTCCTCTTTCCCTCTCCCCCCAACTTGAATTGAGTTTTTCTCCAATATGGGCATGTATTCGATAGTCTACTGGCTTCATATTAGTATTGAGTACACTGGATATTTACTTTTCCATTCTTGTGATACTTTACTAAGAACAATGTGTTTTACCTCCATCCAGGTTAATACAAAAGATGTAAAGTCTCCATCTTGGGCGGTGCCTGTGGCTCAGTGAGTAGGGTGTCAGCCCCATATACTGAGGGTGGTGGGTTCAAACCCAGCCCTGGCCAAACTGCAACAAAAAAATAACCAGGTGTTGTGGTGGGCACCTGTAGTCCCAGCTACTTGGGAGGCTGAGGCAAGAGAACCTAAGCCCAAGAGCTGGAGGTTGCTGTGACCTGTGATGCCATAGCACTCTACTAAGGGCGACAAAATGAGACTCTGTCTCTTAAAAAAAAAAAAGGTCTCCATCTTTTTATGGCTGCATAGTATTCCATAGTGTACATATGCCACAGTTTGGTAATCCATTCCTGGGTTGATGGGCATTTAGGTTGTTTTGAAATTTTGGCAATTGTAAATTGAGCTGCGATAAACAGTCTAGTGCAAATGTCCTTATGATAAAAGGATGTTTTGGCTCGGCGCCTATAGCTCAACCGGCTAAGGCGCCAGCCACGTACACCTAAGGTGGCGGG